TCTGATAATACCAGACCGAAAGGACTTACTGCACCTGCCAGCAGCAGTTTGTTATCCCAGACAAGGTCTACGAGGCGGGTCAGGGCACTTGAGACTAATTAAGCACTGTTAACTAATGGATTGTTTATACAGCTTTGTAACTCTGCATTGCATTATTATTACTTATTCATGTTTGTATTATCTTTGGCTAGAGAAAGACACATCAGGAAGGAACCTATAAATATATGCCTGTACCCCAAAGTGGTACAGGGTGGAACAGAACTGGTGCTGACCCAAACCTGACAGCTGCTATAGGGAGGTGCCTCCCCAAGGTGGAGAGGTGTCTCAGTCCTGGCACAGAATAATTTGGATACAGTGCCTGGCTGACCCCAGTTTTGGCGCCAGAGCCATCTCCACCAGTACCAGAGCCACTGCACTATGCTCAGTCGAATTGGGCAGGCATGCTGGATGAGGTCCACTGGGTGCAGGTGTAGCTCCGTGCAGAGGTGCATGGTGCACAACACCTGCTAGCCAGGGCTAAGACATGACCAAAGCAGATGACCCATCGGGTGCCTTGGCAGAGTGACTTCTGAGCAGAGCAGGATGTGGTCATTCATCAATGTAGCATCTGACGAGCCAACAAAACAAATATCACGATCACATAAAACTTTGCATGCAGGCACACTGCAGTGCTTTCTACTTTTAGTAATGTCTCCCTCCTTTTTCTTCTTTGTGTTTGATTTTATTGCTTCCTGACTTGGAAGTACTTTAGTACTCCATTTTTAATGTTCTCATATGCAGGATTTATCTGGACCATTATAAATTCTTTAGTGTTATAAGCATACTAGCACTTTATAAGAGGCAAAATATGCTCAATGTAAAAGAAATGCTGCTTTGGAAAAAATTACAATAAAAAGACATAGCTGGGAGCAATAAAAGTTAGCCAGAAGCAGGATAGAGGCTGCTCTTCCCTGCTGGCAAACTGCTCAGCTGAGAGGGGTTGGTAGGAGGGGAGTGAAGGTGTTCCTCTTACATGATCCTGCAAGCTCAAACAGAGGCATCAGAGGAGAACAAAAGGACAGCAAGAAGAGCAGCTCCTCATGGAGACAAGAAGCTTGTATGAGAAAAAGATAGAAATATAGGTAAGGAAGAAAAAGGCATGTGAAGATTTGAAAATACAGAGAAGGAATTTTGCTGCATGCAGGAAAGGAGAAGAGCTGAGTGACAAATATAATACTTGAAGGCTCAAATGACATCCAGCTTCAAAACACTAAATTTCTACCTCCCACTCTTAAATACTTGGTTTGCAGCCAGCCAGGTGCAGGTGACTGAGCCCTGTCCAGAAGCTAGTCCTGCAAAGTGAACAGTTGGCTGTGGCTACTGGCCAGTATGTAAGCCTTTCACTTGCCTCTGCACTGCAGCCCTGGGTTGAAATGGTGCTCGTGATCCATTATATTAAGCCAGAGGGAGAGGCAGGAGAAACTCCTGGGTTTTGTAGTGTCTATACTGCCTGTCAGAGCATGCCAGTGTGCTCGTACCCAGCTACTGAGGCTGCCAAGGTCACTTAGAAATTACCATGCTGCAGGGACAGGTGCAGTCAGAGGCCACATAGCCAGGCATGCACTGGGATTTTGGTGTCAGCAACTGTATGGCCAAGTCTGAAGGCAGGAGAAAAACTCCATCAAACATAGTTAATTGAAGAATCAGTCTGCAGTGTACTGCTGGAGAACTTGTCTGTCTAGATGTCTTGTCTGGGTATTGTAATGCTGCAAAAAGTAACTGATGTCAGCTTTAACATCTACTCTTCAGAGATCTCTGTACTGTTTTCTCACATCTCTGACCCACAGATCCCAGGATTCATCAGCAGTGTGGGTTATTTGCAGGAAGAATAGGGGGATTTTATTCTAGAGTCTGCTTAGTTCCAATAGTTCATCAGGTTTTCATCCCCCATAAGCTACATGCATTATTCCCAATAGCTTCTCTACTTCTGATTCCCCCTCCCTTTGTCTCTGCTTTTCTGCATGTTATCTGGGGATGTATTTTCAACTGCCAATATCTCTTTTAAAAGGACTTTCGCCCACATGAAAACAAGGTAATACCACAGCTTACTGCAAAATTAGTCTTACATTTTTGCAGACATTTACTTCTAGTTTAACAAAAGAAACGTACACAAAAAAACTAAGTCTTTCTGGAAAAATCTGAAATGGTTTAAACAAGGTTTGCAGACATTTACTTCTAGTTTAACAAAAGAAACGTACACAAAAAAACTAAGTCTTTCTGGAAAAATCTGAAATGGTAATTAAACAAGGATGCTTGATTTTTTGTTCTTTACCTGGTTCTCATGGCAATAATGGAAATTCACTGTCCTAGTCAAGAGAATGTCTTATGTGGAGAAAATAACTGCAGTGGCAAGGAGAGCGTGGTGAAGAACTCCCAAATATGTTGAATATATTGGTGACACACCTTTGGTGTACACTATGGTAATTTTTGAGCACTTCTAAATGTGTCCAAAGAATAATCTGTAAAATTTCTAATAACGCTGGCACATTCTTCCTCTTGTAGTTTGGTGTTATCATTTCATAGTACCACTCTAGTGGAAGAAACAAAAGGTTACATATAACCAGAGTCAAATTGTTGATTGAACATCATTTGGGGTGTGATCAATCTGCAAATTTTGCAGTCCTTAGGAATAATGATCTGGCTGCAGTATCCTTTATTTTGATGTCTGAAAATAAGTGCTGCACAAATAGTTTAGGAAGCTGAGTCACAGCTGCATAACAGTTTATAGGCTGTTTTCGGAATGTGAAGAAGCAATTTACTTGAACCTCAGAGCAATGTAGCAGTCAGTTTATGTTTGGAACCAGTTCCTAAAATAGATCACTCATTTCGTGACCAAATGAAAGCACAGTCTTACTGAGATCCAGCTGGTAAGTATGTGCCCATGCCATGTTCATGTTTAGCGTTGGTAGAATAACTTACTGACTCCATTGTAAGCTTCAGAGAGATGGTTGTTTTAAATGATACGACAACCAGTGGTGATGCTGAAAGGAAACCGTTGTGGTTAATTTTTTAACACCTTAGGGATAATTGCACAATATTTTGAGCATCACAAGGTTCTAGTGACTGCACAAGAAGTAAAGAGCTCGTTTTACAGCTGGGACTTAGCTTCTCATTGAAGCCCCTTATGGCTAAGTTATATGGCTAACACAGTCAAAGAAATGTGTTGTCCAGGCACGCTCATTGTCATTCTGCTCACATGGATTACTACGCTGCCTTTCCCAAGATGAATCAACTGAATAGGGTGACTGGGATTTGCTGTCTGTGTTAAAGAAGATGTGATTTCAATAGTCTTTAAAAACAGCCAGCAGTTACATTAGCCCTGTAACCGGGAGGTATGTGGGCAGTTGCTGCAGGAGAGTTCTCGTCTGTTCACGCTTCCTGCAGGAGATCAGCTCTGGTGAAGTGTAGCAAAGTCAGGTAGCAAGTGTGCAGCTTCAATTCTGAATGTGCAGAGCCGTCTGAAAGGAGAGCAATTTGCACAGCCTTTCCTCACGTGTGCAACCCCACTGTTTTCACCATTTGCTTACAGAAGTGGCAGCTCTTCCCCTTGGTAGTATATTATGGATCGAAGTGTATTAAGACTTAAGAGAGTCAAAACCTCTTCTGTGACCTGGAGGTTCACATACATTGACTTCCAGTGGAACTTGAAAGCTAGAGTCATTAAGGCATTCTTGGACATTTCAATGCAGGACTCCTTTCACAAAAACGAGCAGTCTAATCAATGATGTCTAATGATTTTGAGTGACTGCAATTTACAATGTGCTTACAGTATCCACATTTCCAGTTTTTAGGGTCTGCTTTTCCATCTGCTTCTCAGTTTGCCCGTTTATATCTGGTTAGGGTTTTTCCTTTGTTTTTTTTAAAACAAAGAGTGGCTGCTGATAAAAGCAGTCACAATTAAATTAAGCATAAAACAGTAGCGTAGAATTATCATTCAGCTTTGTTGCCCGAAAGAGATTGTCTAAAGGTTTTCACCAGAGTATGCTGAGAGTAATTCAAATTGGACCAATAAGTTGGAGCAATTGCATCAATGTGAACATAAGGAAGTCAGAATCAGCGTTTTTTACTGTAAGGTAGTATTTCTTTCTAAGACTGTACAACCGACAGATAGGAAATTTCAACATTGCTTTTCTCTTTGGAAAAATAAAGCCTGTTTTTCATCACAATTTCTATTTAAAAATTGGCTATGTGACAAATTTGAGAATGTTTAGCGTGAAAGACAATTTCGAGTGTTGTAGGCAATGTTTCACAGGACTAGTGAAAGTGGAATTGTTTTTCAAACTTAAGGTCATGTTATTCTTGCTTGTAGCCTTACTGTTTTCCTAAAAAAAGACCTTTATTTTTTCCTTAAAAGCTAGTTACTACCTGAAGTGAAGTATCTTTTCCGTATGATGAGACTTCCTAACATTTGTGAATGCTCAGAAGAAAAGAATCCATTATTGCCAAGATCTAGTCCATCAATCAGAAAACTGTCATTTAATAAACTCTGTGGTAGTTACCTCATTGATACCGTCCTGTGTGAGCTGTGTGGGTTTTTTGAAGGAATGGAAGATAATTCCTCCTGCAGGCCAGTAATGCAGGAAACCATGACTGTGTATTAATTTAAATATCTATTAGTGTGGCTGACTCTGGTGTCTGCAGCACAGCAGCAAAAATGTTCACATTTTTCATTTTCATAGAAAATTCATGTTTTTATCATTCCTCCCCCTCCCCCCCTTTCAAGCAGACTGTTACAGCTCCATTTTAAACTGTGGCAATTTTTGTATTTTAGTTATTCCACGCTGGTCTCTTGTATCTAATAGTACTAATTCTTATTCCTGTCAGGTATAAGTTTGTCTATTCATGGGGCTGAAAAGCGTGTGCAAATCTGTCAGAGGAGAACTGCAGCAAGCTACCCAGTGTCACAGCGTCCGCCTGTGGTCGGGCATCCTCCACTCCCACAAGTCAGAAGGTCAATAAAAATGGAAGCCTCGTCTTCTGGATCTAGTATTTCAGCAGTCACTGGTGGAAAAGCAAAAACCCATCAGCCAGGTAACAGATTTGGCTTGACACCTTTTTCAGTTCCGTTTCTTGTGTGATATGCCATGATGTTGTGAAGCTGGTATTAATAGCATCAGATCATGCTTGCATGGAGGCCAGTCTGTTGATCGTCTGAGCTATTGATTGATGTTTTGTCTACGTTGGTACGTTTTTGTCAGTTATAGAACATAGGGAGTAACAACAGTTGGGACAGCTGAAAGTGGGAAATAAAAATGTAGGTTTAATCATAAGAAAACGTACATGTAGTGGTATCCAAAATGTTAATGTAGAGAGAGCTTTGGGCTATTGTTTTTTAATACTGATCCCCTTAACGTATGTTTAATTTTGATAAGCCCTGAGCTAATGGCAATCCCCTAGAGGCTACAGGCATCCCCCATGGAACTCAGTAATTGATACTAACGTTGGTTTTGAACAAAGGCACAATCCAGGGCATAGATCAATGTCTTGCTGCTAGAATGCAAACAAAAACTCTAGATCTGAAGGAGATTTTACAACATACGTTAACTGGTTAACAGAATGAAACTTTTTAAAAGAAAGCCAGAATCTCCTGGGAACCATCAAATTCTAATTGACATCATGAGTTCATTCCTTGTTATGTTAATTGCCAGAGCTATTTTAGAAGTATCTTTTCTTGTAACAGGGGAGTACATTTGTGCTGGCCATGTTCAGTCATTCTTCACAGTGAAAACTAAACTCAAAATTTCTTTCCTGAGTAGAGCAAATTAAGGCTGCCCATGAAGTCAGTTTTGTAGCTTCTATATTGAAGGGTCTCAATAATCTTCCAGCATTGCTTCCCAGGAAAGGGTGTGATGCACCTTGTGTGCAGCTGCTTGGGTGCTGCGGGGCAGTCTTATTTGTGTGAGACAGACAGTTCTGCCTGCAAACCCTTAGCGTGCTTCCATTACCTTGCAGATCTAGTAAATGGCTTAATTTTTGTAGAAGTTGAAAATTTAGATTATTTATTGTGGGTTGCTATGCAGGTCTATTGCCATGAGTTTCATGCACCTGTACTATTTAGTCACCATTATCTTTGTCAACATAGATTGATTAAGAATTTACGGTGAGTCATAATCATATGCTTTGTTTATTTCAGAACCTCTGTTCACTTGTTTGTCCTATTTTTTCAGCTTCTGTGTTTTTTCTTTGAAGTACAGAAATTACTACTACAGAAATGTTGATGTTGCTAAAGATACATAATCATGACTGCAGCATGTTAAAAGATTGACAAAAAAACCCTGCATCACAGTTTGTGAAAAAAGTATCTTGAACATGCACAAAAACTATGTTCATTTTGAGCTGCTACACATTCTACATCTATGTGTTGATAGATATGGCCTGTGCTTTAATACTAAATAATGTACAAGCAACATATGCTGGCTTCTGATTGAGAAAAAGATCCCTTTTTAGGTAGACCCCAGAGGTTTCCTAAAATGGAGCTCATTAGTGAGCATCATTTGAATGATGATTCTCTGAGGAATTTAGCTTTCAGTATAGTCATATGAGATTAGTTTTGTCTATCATTTCCTACTTTTTAGACAATAACAACATCTATGACCTACAGAGAACATGCTTGGCGTCTTCGTTCAAGGAGGCATTCAGTATTATGAGCTTCACTGAAGTTAAGAGGAGTTAACAGTACCTAGAGCCTTAAAGGATGCAGATTTTTATAAATATGTTGTATGACAGTGTCATTGTTTCATCTGGTATGAAATAATGTTTTTATGATTTGGGTCTGACTTTTTAATTCTATATAAGAACACTAAATTTGTCTCTGTGTCCAGGTTAAATTACAACCATTTGAGCTGCATGCAAGTAGAGTCTAAGAAAGAGTATGGTCAGGCAGCAATAGTAATAAATAGCACTCCTAAGAGAAAATTTTAATTTAAACCTAAAATCATATATTACTCATTCTTACTTAGCCACAAATTAACAGTTGTAGCTTTGTAAATAATTAGCCTAATACACTAGTTGACCAGTGGCAGTACCTTATCTAAGGCATTATAAACATTATAAATAGTTTGGCATTTTAGAGAGAAAATGTTCTGACTTACATTAATTACTCAGGTAACAGATCTTACACCACCATTTTCCAAGCTATCGTCCTGCTATTGCACACAGTAAATTCCTCAGGATTTTGTTCAGTCTAATTTTAAATAGTTCATACAATTTCCGTTCTTCCTTCTATTGGAGTGCTGTTATCACAATCAAGTAGGTCTCACTGTGGGAGTAGTATACATTATATTCAGTCTGAAATTTCCTTTGTCCAGTTAAGAAATACTCTGAACATAAAGACAGTCTAGCATAATAGATTGCACAGAAAGGTATTCTGAGGACTTAAAATGGCATTTCTGATTCTTATCAATCAGAGAGGCTAGGACCATGGAAAGAAAAGATCCTTGATAAAATGACAGTTACAAATGAGTGTATTTTTTCCATCTAACAGCATACTGCTGCTGTTTTCTGCACACCACTTTGTTTCCCTTGGCTGCTTTTCTTCTTTCCAGAAGGACACCTTTTATTATTTATCATTAATTCTTTTTTAATTGACAGCTGTTTCCTTTGACTGAAGTTCATAGGTAACTACATGCTAAGGAGGAGGAACTATAGATATTGTTCAGTGTTACAGCACTCCTTTTCATCTTGCTTCCCTACCAGTTTTATTTGTAGCTGGTAAGGAGCCTGAGGCTGATGACTTCTATTGTTACTCTGGGTGTTAGAGTGGCTAGCGAGCAGTAAGTTGTCTGTAATGTGCCCTATTAAAAAAAAAAAAAAATTGCCTTGAGCAAGCTTGCGAAGAAGTACTGCTCAGCCACAAGTAGAACCACAACTTCTGAGCTCTGATTTTAAGCAGATCAGAAGGTATCAAGTAACTGAAACAAAACACAGAGGAAAATGGAGAAATGAGTGGAAGAAAATGGCTATTAATGGTGAAAACTCCCGATACCTTTGCAGGCGCTCCAGTATGAGGGAAGTTTCTCTTAGAAAGGAGAAAAGCAAAGGCAAGTAAAGCAATCAGATGGTAAATTCAGATGCAATGATATTAAGGAAAATATGCATTCCTTCCAGAATCAGGGAGAGACAGTATTTTTAATTTTGAGAAACCTTCAGTTACCATCTCCCAGTTATGCGAGCAGTTGTGGTATATTGTGGCTAATGAGGTACAAGGCTACTGAAGTACAGGGTTGAAAGCACTTGGGGCAAACCTTTGGCTGCTGTAAATTGTTATAACTCTCCTGAAGTCGGTTTATGATCGATGCATCTGTGTTGCACACAGGAGGCTTATTTTGAAAGTGATGGTAATCAGCATTTAGGTTGTCTGTAAGAGCAGCAGAACCAAGTACTGAACAAGCCTAGAGGAGGTTAAACTGTCATCCCAGTCTGTTCCCTCAATGTCAGGGTTAGGCAAATCTGGGGACAAAAAAAATGCTTGCCTCACTTCTGATGGCGTTGCACCTTTGCTATGGAGTAAGCAGGACTTTAGTTTCTGGGTTTCTGCCTGCTCTTTCCATTGTTACTCTTTATTCCAAATCAGGATACTGTTACCTTACTTTTTCCTGGTGGTGACGAATTCCTTTATTCTCGGGCTCTGCAGAATTTGTCAAACCTAGTTTCTCTAGGAGTCATTAAATTTGCTGGCTGTGGAAAAATTGCCTTATTTAATAAGTTTAAGCAGCAGTAAAGTGAATTCTTTCATTGTGTGAAACTCTGGAATCTTATGTCTTCTGTACTCGCAACGCTTGCTAACAATTGTTACCCATTTTGTAATAACAGGGATTCAAAGGTTCCCCAGCAAGATTTTCTTTCTCTATGCTTCCTGTAAAGGCCTCTGGTTAAACCTTAATGTGTTTTGCAGTTTATATAGAAGTGTATATATAATAATGTAGATATTCATTTATATCACTTGTATAAGTTAGATCTGCAGGCAATCTAGACATCCAACAGGAAGAGTTGTCTTTGAAATCATTTATTTCCAGACTTCAGTAAATATGTAAAGAGTCTTCACTCCAGGAAACACATAAAAATATTCTGGAAATTTCTGCTTTCAAGAGTTTACTGTTCAAAAATATCTCCTTCAAAGCCAAAGAACGGTACATTTTGGAATGGAGATTCCTTGCTACCTGAAATGATATAGGCATATCCATGATATTTGGAAGAACTTTATGTTCAATGGCAAGGAAACACCTACTGAAAGGACTGGTTTCTGGCATTCCAGTGGAAGTCTAGTGGGGTCGTCGGAATTCAGTGAGAATCTTTTTTTGGCAGTCTCTTGCCTTTATGACAAATAGTACTTGACAGATATGTTACAAATGTTAAAGGAAGATGTGTTTGCCTTAGGCATGCTTTTCTTTTACTTTTGGATCTTCTTTTTTTATTGCTCATCAAACTGTAGCATTTTTATTGATGCCTGTAGTTATTGGGCATGAAAATAAGAAGGAAGAGCTAGTGGTGTTGGCCAACAGAACAACTGACTTAGGAGGCAAGGAAAAATGCATGGTTCTTGAAACTGTGGCAGTCAAAATTAAAGGAAAAAAGGAAATGTATGTTTAATGAGCTTAGTCACAACTTAACAAACTTCGAATCATCAAGGAAGCTAGAACTAAGTCCTTCAAAAATGATAATTTACTGTGCAAAAGATATCCTTTCTCATCACAAAATGTGTACATGCTTGTCAGCGTTCACATTTGGTTGTGAATGGTCTTAGAAGATCTGTGTTAGATGTGATTTGTTGGTTAAATCACATTCTCTTTTCTTTGCTGATTGGCAGGACGTGTGGCATACATCTCTCTCAGATTAAAAGAATAAACTCCTGCAAATAATTCTGCCAGAAAGCTCTGTCATGCAAATATTTCTTGGCAGCAAACATATGCATGTTGTGGGAATGACTGATGTAAACTCACCTGAAAATTTGAATTCATGCTGACAGTAGTGCTGTTATCTTACTTGTCTAACATTAGTTAGGGGAGCAGTCTTTTTCAATATGCCTTCTGCTG